TAGACATACAGGTAGGTCATGTGTCTGTCTGGTAGACATACAGGTAGATATGTTTGTCTGGTAGACATACAGGTAGGTCATGTGTCTGTCTGGTAGACATACAGGTAGATATGTTTGTCTGGTAGACATACAGGTAGGTCATGTGTCTGTCTGGTAGACATACAGGTAGGTCATGTGTTTGTCTGGTAGACATACAGGTAGGTCATGTGTTTGTCTGGTAGACATACAGGTAGGTCATGTGTTTGTCTGATAGACATACAGGTAGGTCCTGTGTCTGTCTGGTAGACATCGTGTTTTCTGTGGGGGACATCTATTTTTCTGTGGTCGTATTCTGGGATAATGTGAGGGAGAAGAGAGCACTTGATGTAGTCATGTGTGTGTTCACATCGGAGTATTTTATGTAGTCTTGTATGTATTCATATTGGAGTATTTTATTTTTTCGTAATGTAAGTATTTTTACATTCCCATCAACACAACTTAGATGATGTAGGAGGCAGGTGTCCGACCCCGCCTGTCAGGGCCAACCTGTGCTGAGATAGATACCAGAGCTTCCCTACTTGGGAATCGAACTCTCGCCTTCTCTGCACTAAGGCAAAGTCGCATCATTATTATTGACCACAGACAGTACGTTACAAATGGAGGGCTAAAGTTTCCTGTGACCCCCGTGTGTTTCAGTCTGCCGTTACCAGTTTCCGGGGCGTTGATCAACAGACGAGGAACCGGATTCTGGACGAGCTCGCTGGCTTCTCATTTGTACAAGAACCCACAGCTGCGGAAAATGGTAGATCAAAGAACTTGTCTGTTAGTCTCCTTGTTCCCCTGTCTCTCTCTTCTTCTCTCTGTCTGTGTCTCACCACTTCTCTCTCTTTCTCTATCTGTCTCTCTCTCTCTCTTTCTATCTGTCTCTCTCTCTCTCTTTGTCTCTCCCTCTCACTTTTTCTCCTTATCCACCCTCTCTTCCTCTCTTTCTTTCCCCTTCTCTCCTTCTCTTTCTCTCCTTTAAAAAAAAATAATAGAGACACATTGACATAATATTGGTCATTTAGTGTTGGGAAAAAGTAAGACAGACAGACAGACAGAAACAACAGAGAGAAAAAAAGGTAAAATCTACCTGTGGCAACCTCCAACCACCCTCTTTTTCTCTCCTTACACCTGGGCCAAAGCATGAGTCTTCAAACGTTGTTGAGAAATCAGAATACGAGTCCTCAGTGACTTGAACTTTAGCTTTTGTTATTGTTGTTGCAGGTGACTGTTGTTGCAGGTGACTGTTGTTGGAGGTGACTGTTGTTGGAGGTGACTGTTGTTGGAGGTGACTGTTGTTGGAGGTGACTGTTGTTGGAGGTGACTGTTGTTGCAGGTGACTGTTGTTGCAGGTGACTGTTGTTGCAGGTGACTGTTGTTGCAGGCGACCTTCAACCTCTATCTGTTCCCTCTTGTTGCTAGGCGCCCAACACCCGGCGGAGGTGCTGCCCCCTGTGAGAGAGTCGAGCCTGCTGCGTGTGTCTCTGGCCCTGCTGTCCCTGAACACCGCACGCGAGGAGGTCAAGGCCGTGTCAGGGACTGGCAGGAACACTACAGCACCCTCTGCCCTCACCTTTGACCTCTCCATAAACGCTGTCGATGGAACTATAGGTAGGTTCTTGGGGAAAAGTAAAGCAGAATGCAGGGCTTGAAATAGACAGCGACATCCGGCAAATTGCCTTGGTACCTTTGCAATTTGCTGTAATGTCGTTAAAATCAAAGGCTCAACTGCGGCAATTTTTGCTGTGCCCTTGTTTTTACAAAAAATGTACCACCATGAAAATAAATCAATACTTGTCCTGTGCTGTCACTTGTGAAAAAAGAAAAGAAAAGAAAGTTATACAAGCGTCTTGTGTTACTTGCCATCGTGACCGGTCAGTGAACGTTGGCGTTCGCATCACATTGTGAGTACCTATAAAGGCAGTTTTCTGGAGGCATTCGCTTTCCAGAGATATGCTTGAAAAAATCATGCTTGTTTGTCCCAATGGTCCTGAGATCAAAAAATTCAACACAGAACCCTGCATTGCCAAGTGGCAAGAGATGTGTCTCACAAATAGACGTCCTGATAAAATAACACTTTTCTCTGAAACCATATTGTTTTTACCATAAGGGACAAACAGTAAGCCTGTCTTTTTCTATATTGTGTGGGCGAACATTTTTTCAATATTCTGATCTAGATCTCTAGTCATAAGTCACAATATGATGTGAATAACATGCTGATTGTTAAGGTCTTAAAAAAAAAACAACCATAGTTTAAAACATGTATTTTCAAAACTTGTTTTCATTTATCACAGTCATAACCTCATGCTGTTGAACTGCTAGACAGCAGTTTTTAGTTATTCTTTCTTTTTTTCTATACAAGTTCAAAAGTTGTTTTCACTTTTCATAAACTCCTGTTGACTGTTACGTTTCTTTTTCTTTCTTTTTCTTCTTTTTCTTCTTTTTCATACAAGTTCAAAATGTGTTTTTATTTTCCAAGGTTTGTTTTTATTTGACCACTACATTGTCTGTACACAGCTCTGTTTGAATCTCATCAATGATCAATGTCTTACCTAATTGGTCATATTATTTCCTGTTTTCTGTCATGCCCTATTGTCATATTCATTATTAATCCAATCAATAAGAGCTAGTCATAAAAGCATTTAAGACAAGATGCAATTGTGATCATTCTTTAAATAAAAAAACTGTGATTTTAGTTCTTTTGTTCTTATGTGATTTCTATTGTGATTTACTTGTTTTCATTCATGATTTGACAAATTTTCCAATAACCTCTATACTTTTGTAGAGAGCATCAATAAATTGTATTGTTATATATATATAAACTTTGTGATGCACGACCCAGTATTACCAACTTTAATCAACAAAATGATCGCCTATAATGTTTGCCTTGGTGCCCTAGCAAATTGCCTCGGTGCCCTCTGATTTCTAGGCCCCACCAAGGCAATTTTTGCCTGCCCTCCTGAACATCTAATTCAAACCCTGAAAATGTTTTAGTTTTAGGAAAAAAACCCAGCAACACCCCATTGACCAATAACGCTTTCCACTTTCTCTCCCCGCCCCCTCCCCCCCCA